TTGTATGAAGTAGATTCATAAGCGGAAACGCGATATTACGTTTTACACGTGATGATCTTAAAATTCGTGATGCTTAGACACACTTTAGTTATCTTTGTTAGAGTGTCTTTTTCTAAGAACATTTAGTTGCAATGTGTTTAACTCCAAAAAACTTACGTGATCAACATAGACTGATCTTCTCTATCTGAAATGAGAACATCACGTTATAGTATATACGTGTATTCACACATTTTCCTTTTCTCATGCAGCCGCGTGGAATGCCTAATATTATGTAAAATAGTTGATAAGCTGTTCGGGGACGTGAATCATTCAATGTAGTATGGACGGCCATAAAATTATTTTAACAACATGAGGTATTCGTTGATTCTTTGAAAATAATATCTAACGCCCTGGAAATCACTCGTCTTGGAGAGGTGAAAGATTTCGCGAGAACTGTTATTGGCACGGTCATCAATGACGACTATGATCTCCAAATATTTTCACAACACATATGTTTATGCGCGCGCTTGTATTGAATAAACGTACTGGCAATCATGGCAGCATAAGCATTGTCCGACACCGCGAACAGATGAGGTGGCACCTCATTCTTGCGCCTGCCACGGTACTCGATGACAACCTCTGGGTTGTAGATAGGAAGCCTCTTGTAGGGGTTGACCACAACGCAGAACAGTCCAGAGTATGTCTATATATTTTCACAAGTAATAACATCATTATTATCGTGAATTATGTTAAATATAGAGTTAAAGAACAACACGACTGCTACATAGTGATAATCAGTGTTCGATATTAGTAAGTAGTATTAAATAATCTTCAGCTTAATTTAAAAAAATTCATGATCAATTTGCGTTATCGACGATGCTAGTTTTTGTTCTGTATGGCTTGGTCAAGACACAAGTTACATTACTTTAGTAGATTATTAGCAGCCGCTCACCACACGCAATACTGCGATCCATGAAATCGTGTTTTCTATATTCTTGCATTAACATCGAACAGTAAAGGTACATAGTCAAATTTAAACTCTTAATCAACCAAAATAATATAAAATTCTTCTCTCCCCATAATAAAGACGTTTAGGAGATTATATCACGTTTGAGGCCACGATAAGCAATGACAGTTAGGTATAATGAACGTGTTGTTATTCCCAATAACAATGTTCCGAATATTATATCGCTTATCCGAGATGCACCAATTGAAAATTAACTTTCCATTGAACATAGTTTGAGAAAACCTACGTAAATCATCCAAGCGCGATATCTTTGTCTCAGGTTATGAAGAACGGAAGCGTCGTTCAGGTATGTCAGGTTAGACATGTCCTCGCACTTCTCGTACTGCGGAGGGTTCATCTGCTGAACGTGCTCAGTCTTCATAGTCATCTCCTGCAAAGGGAAATATTATACTCAGAGAGAGGGGGAGATATATAGAGAAAGGAAGAGAGGGCGTAAGAGAAAGAGAGAGAGAGAAAGAGAGAGAGAGAGAGCAGAAAAGGCACAGCGCGTGCAAGAAAACGTATGGAACGAGAGGAGAAGTGCGGGAGGGAAGGACGAGCGGACGGGGTACGGAGAGAGGGATAGCGCTAGAGTGATAGCGGAGGGAGAAAGATAACATGTGTACGTGATAGAGGGACACAGACTGATCGGACGCGTGGTTGAGAGCAAACGAGTTTGAAAAGCTGAGGGTAACGGTAAACATATTTAACGAGAGTTATAAACTTTTGTATATTGTGTGTTGTATATGTTTGTTTATATCTTGTGTAGAGTTTGTTATAGTACGTGAGAGCAACGTGAGTGCGAATGAACATAGATTTAGACGAATTGAGTTATATCTATATCTAAATATGATAGATACAGACGGATGAAGCAAGAAAATGAGTGTGTGATGTGAATGGAATACAATGAGAGAAAATGACGGAGGCGGTGAGGCAAGAGGGAAAGGCCGCGAGTGTTAACGAAGGAACAAGAAGAAGCAGGTTCGAGACAAGTAGTCCGAAGAAGTGAATGTAAATAAAATTATTAGTGAGGGACAATTCAGTGCTAAAGAACACGACGATGAGACATATCGATGCGGGACACCGGGTTGGAAGCAATAAATAAACGTACATGCATGTGTCTTTGAGAGAACCCAAATGGTCTCATACGGTAGAACGAGCAATGGGGGGACAGCGTGAACAAATGTGTGAATGTGAAGTAAGCTTCTGAGAGCGAGGGTAAGAGAGTAGGCAATAGCATATGGCATATGGAAATAATCGTTATGTTCATACTATAACTAACGATTATGTAAATACTCGATATATATATTCCGAATAAATACCTCGGCTCCGTTCTTAAGAATGGTGGTCATGTCTCCCTTCACTTCCTTGATCTCTCCCGGGGCGTAGCCCTCTTTTGCGTCCGGCACCCACACCATCTTCTTAGCGTCAAACGGCATGTTTGCCGTCTCTATCTTCATCTTTTCGGTAGGCTTCAGGAACTGCCAAGGGTCCTGTAGGGCCAGCTCCTTCGTTCCCCATGGCAAGGGCAGTGCTTGGGTCAGCATGGTGTCAGAGGGTATTGCGGCCAATCAGACTTCCCCTAGCGAATGTGAAAACAGGATATTAGACGAAATTCATAGTTGCATACTCTCAACTGTTGGATATCAAACAGAAACTAGGCAACACGGATTGCTCTCAATCAATAGGGCAAACGACAGCTGATCACCTATATAGTTGGTAGTCGTAGCATTCACGTCATCTTTAATGTGTTTCGTATTCTATAATTTAACAAAGTTACCGCAAGTTAAACAATAAGAGCGCGCTATCACTCTGGTACGTACCTATCCTTGAGATGCTGTGCGCTTGGTTCTACTTCCTCGCCACGTTTTATACCTAGGCTGTCGGTAACACGACCTGGAGATTATTGTTCATAAATAGCGAGCGAATGAACGGCACCACTACAATGACGTGGTAACATCTGAGGGTGGAGTTTGCAATTTAATCCACAACCATAACGGGAGTATCTTTTTTCGTCTGCCAGCAAGCAGCCGTTGTAAACCGTAGAGGTAACAACAGCCCGCACGAGTTTTAAAATAAAATCATTTTTTATGTGAGTTGCGGTCTGGCGGGAAGATTGGTTACCAGGCCTGGATGCATCTGTTCATGAGCGCAAGAAAGCACAACGACCGTTCGGTTGATTTCATGATACGTGAACAATATGCATACATATGTGTATATATATATATATATATATATATATATAATATTCACGTGAATGATGTAGTGCAGTAAATTGGCGAGTATTTTTTGGCGTAACATTGTGTATTGCGTCATGTCGTAAGCAAGGGATAAATACACAAACCTGCTCATATATTTGGAACTGTGCGAGTTAAATAGCGGTCACAGTTTTTGGCTAGCCACTTCTTTCTTGTGCTCGATAAATTAATTCGATATATAATCGATATCTAATCGATAAGCTAATATCATGTAATTCATTTCAGTGAACGAGTGTCAGTGTGTATCTCATTGTTATCATCTTATGTTTTGACTACTAATGCATCATGTTAACCTTACTATTCCACGTGCGATTTCATTATAGAGATTTAATATCAGGTAGTGTCATTTTATGTTTGTATACGTCGCCATGTCCCATGTGAGGAATTTAACAATGAAGCAAGTGCAGTATCTGAATAATAAGAATGTATCTGTAGGGGCATGTACCTTATATTTTTTGACGAATAAACTCATCGTTGGCGTACTGTATTCTATTTCCATTTAGCATATGGATTATTTTTTGCCAATCGAATCCATTGAAATTCAATTTCATGTGAATCCGGAAAAATTCGCGGGTATTATTGCATACATTGTATTATATTTGCATCATGTTATTTCGTCCTAAAATTTGTCTTTCACACTATATCTCGCTTTTACCTGTTTGCTAAAATAGGCATATGACATTGTAATACCACATTGTGCTAGTTAATGTTCAGGAGGGTTTCAATTAGCTCTTAAAGTGATATCCTTACAACATTGCGAATTCGGTATATAATTACATAGTAAAACTTATCCTAAATAATTTACCCATTCAATTATTAATATTCAATTCTGGTAATATTTAAAACGTTTCTAACTAATATATCATGTATCGTGTAATGTATCTTTGCTCCTGGTTCGCATTTGAACCCGAAAATAGCAGCAACTGAAGTAAAAAATGCACTGCACTTTGAGTATTGTTTTAAGCAGCGAGATAACAGAACGAGTTTTTTCATCGGCGGTATCGGTAAGGCGAGATCCCGTGTAAATTATAATACCTAAAGCCAGACAAGAAAGGAATTTTTACGAGTTAACTGCAACTGAAAGATTGTGCCCGTTCTAATTTTACTCGCTGTGTTACTCGTGTCAGTGATCCGTGTTATTTTGGTTGTTATAATTGTGCTGGGCGAGCAGGATTGGTCTTTTCCCATATAACAATTGACGACGGAATATAGGAACGCACACGACATTGCTGATGCTTCCCAGAAGTGAGATATGCTCATTGTCTGTGAGTGAATATTTTGCGATCAAACGAGTGAGCGAAAGAGAAAACACAGATCTATTCAATGACTAATTTAGTCAAGGTTCTAGTACTATATATATCTTTACTTTGTTTCCGAACTAGCGTTTCTAATACTGTTTTGCTACTACGTTTTCGAAACAATCATCGAGTCTATTTCGTAACTCTTTTTTCTATCTCTCGATCTCGCCCTCTTCTGCTTCTTTCCTCTCGCCCCTCTCTTACTCTCTGCCTGTATATCTCTCTATCTGTCACTCCATATATCTATCCATCTATATGTCTATCTATTTAGCTATCTATATATATCTACCCCCCTATCTATCTAGCTATCTAACTATCTACCTACGTATATATATATATTTATTTATTCCATCCATCCATCCATCCATCCATCCACCCATCCATCCATCTATCCATCCATCCATCCATCCATCCATCCATCCATCCATCCATCCATCCATCCATCCATCCACCCACCCACCATCCATCCACTCACCCATCCATCCATCCATCCATCCATCCATCCATCCATCCATCCATCCATCCATCCATCCATCCATCCATCCATCCATCCATCCATCCATCCATCCATTCATTCATCCATCCATCCATCCATCCATCCATCCATTCATCGATCGATCGATCGATTCGTTCGTCCGTCCGTCCGTCCGTCCGTCCGGCCGTCCGTCCG